GGGATTATAGGCAACCACCATCATGTCTGGCTAATTTTTGTATTTTTGTAGAGACAGGGTTTCACCATGTTGGCCAGGCTGGTCTTCAACTCCTGACCTCAGGTGATCTGCCCACCTCGGCCCCCAAAGTACTGGGATTACAGGTGTGAGCCACCACACCTGGCTAAGAAACAAAATATTTTTGAATGCACTAATATTATGGGTTCTAGTTCTAAATTATAATGACCTTGTTTTCCATGACTTCTGCACAGTATTTAACATTCAACCAACTATGGTAACTCCAGGTATATGATCTAATACTAATGCATTTGCAACCCATTATTCCTTGAGCTGTGAAATAATAATAATGTTGAGGAATGTTAATGAAATATGAAACATAGATTCTAGTTCTATAATATAGTCCTATTTCTCATCATCAGGCATCTGTTACTAGGCACATGGGTGATAACCAGAACACAAAATATAGATTAAGTGTACTGTAGTTTCTGCCTTTAATGAGCATGAAATCCTTAAGACCTAGTAGTGAAATTATATGCAAACCAATAATCATTTTACACATCAACATATCTGACAGCACAGGGCAGCTAATAATGGAATTTTATTCCTACTGTCTAAAATAGTTACAAGTTATATGATAATGAAAAAGAAAGAGTATTGAGTTTTTAATCTAGTATTTATTCATAGGTAATATACATGGGTCAGACTTAGCACAGTCTGTTGATGTGTAAAATGCATGTTTTTTGCATATTACTGGAAAGATATTTAACTACACATTGTTTTTTTCCTTTTCTACTTATTGTCAGTTAATTTCTGGCCACTAATGATATACATGAATATAGTGTTATCCAGGGTTATAGTACTTATTTCTAGTTGATGATGAAGTGACTGGAAACTTCCAGTTATTTCTTGATGTTTTATTACATTACTGGTAATACTTTTGGTCTTTCATCATTATTAATTCATTTAGTATTCATTGTGATAATACTGATCATAATAAATTTATTTCAAATTCATGTAGGTGTCATATTTTATTCACTGCTATAGGATTTTCATTGTAATTTGGAACTAATTAATATACCATTAAAATAAAGTGTTACCCACATTTTTCATTTTAAACATAAAATGTCTAGTAGTTCATGACATATTATGTGAGTATTCAGCATCCCAGTGGTAACCCAGCATCTGTACATTTTGTTTTTAAGCAGTTAAAAAAAGAGCAACAGAGAAACATGTATAGAAGTCGAATTTTAGTACATACATTAAAGTTTAGTAGTAAGTTAACTACTAGTTAATTTTTAGTGCCTCCTTCCTTTTAATTGCAATGTATAGTTCTTGTTAATATAATATGTGCTTGTATATACACACATTATTAATATCCCAAAAATAAATTATTTAATTTTCCACTTGACTGGTGCCACCAGGAGAGATGAAAAAACGTAAACCCAAAACAGTTAATTTGATTGCTTCTCTTCTGCATTTCTAAAGACAATTATAAAGAGTGAGTTCACACTAATACATTAATAACTAATACAGTAACTTCAAAAGAAGTATTAGATGTATCTATGTGCCTTATTCATATTTTTTGATTGTTGGTGGGAAAGGAGAAACAAATGTTTTCAGTCATTTAAATGGACTATATTAAGAAGATGAAAAACAAATCTAGTATAGTTGTGTTAAATATTAATGGTAAAAGGTTTAAGTAACCATAAGAAACAGCTGTATTCTATTATCACGAATTTTATTGCACATTAGCCTTATTGAATGAAATTATTCTTATTTCTTCCACACTCTATCTTCTTTGAGTTGCCTGCTCTACTGGACATTGTGTTGTTGTATCTTTTCCATGTTGGCCATTAATGACAGTGTCTTCGTTCCACTATCCCATCTTGTTATTAGTCAGGATAAGATTTTAAAAGAAAAATGAAAAATTTCTTCAAACCCTGCAACCAGTTGAATAACGACCTTGTTTTTCAGGACTTCTGCACAGTATTTAACATTGCTTAATCATGATCTCCCATCTTGATGCCTTCCCATTAACTTCTATGATACTGCACGCTATACTTGTATCTTATGATTGGACCTTGTTTTTTTCTTTTTTTCTTTAATTGTTATTTAGTATCTTTTACTGTAAATCTTTACAGAGATTATCAGACTTTGGGGATATGTGTTTCCATGGTCAAAATTTTGATAATCGAGTCTAGAATTCCTTAATATTATGCATAAAACTCTGAAAACCAAGGCCTTTTGCCTTGGCTTCAACTATTAATCTCCTCATTTCCCCCATCCTTCATTTCTGTCTTGAAATTTGTGTTTTATCATTCTCCTTATAATTTTGCTACATGTGTATACATCCTTAATGAACATCCCTAAGTTTTGTGTGGTTTTTACTTATGTAAATAAAATTATTCTGTATATGTTCAAAGATCAAACTGTTTCTTAGCAGCAATATATATGAGTTCTTATCACTAACACTTGGTACAATTTGAAATTTTGGGGTGTTGCTCTAGATGTTGGTATCATTTCATATTCTTAGTCTCTCAGTTTCTTTTATTGTTTTAGGGAGATTTGTGCTACCTTTTCCCACAAAGTCTCAATACTGCATTTAGAAATTGATTACATGATTTTTTTTGCATTTTCCTTTTCTTCCATTTTACTTTCCCTTTCTTCTCCTCTTTTCATTTCTTACTCTCTTCCACTTTAGAAGCAGTGATGGTTAAAAACCCAGCCTCTGAGCCGGGTGCGGTGGGTCACTCCTGTAATCCTAGCACTTTGGGAGGCCAAGGCGGGTGGATCACAAGGTCAGGAGTTCGAGACCAGCCTGGCCAATATGGGGAAACCCCGTCTCTACTGAAAAAACAAAAATTAACCGGGCATGGTGGCGTATGCCTGTAGTTCCAGCTACTCGGAGGCTGAGGCAGAAGAATCACTTGAATCTGGAAGGTGGAGGTTGCAGTGAACCGAGATAACACCACTGCACTCCAGCCTGGGCAGCAGAGTAAGACTCCATCTCAAAAAAAAAAAAAAAAAAAAAAGAAAAGAAAAAGAAAAACAAACAAAAACCCAGCCTCTAGAGAAGGACTACCAAGGATTAAATGCCAGCTGTGACACTTACTAAAGATGTGACCATGGGCATATTACTATGCTTTCTCCACAGTGGTATCTTCTTCTGTCAAATAGGGATAATAATTCTCTTCTTCATAGAGGTATTGAAAGGATTATGTATGAGTTAATTCACTGGTATGTAAAATGTTAGGAACAGTGCCTGACACAGAAGGTTTTATTTAGTAAAACATATTTGTTTCCTTCTATTTCTCTCAACAGCTCCTTTCGTGTCTGCCTTTTTCCCATCATCACCCAGGGTTTAAGTTACTAAGAGGATAGGGGCACTCATGGGCTCTCAGCAGCTCTGTCATCCTAAAGTAGGGAGAAGTTTCAATGTTGGGAGTAGATCTAGTGAGGGAAGCCTGTGAGTGGCATTTCTCACTGGGATAGAAAATTCCAACAGGCATGTTTCTCCCTCAGGTAGCATTTTTGGTAAGACAATGGTTGAGTGTTAGAAGTATACACCAATTTCTCTCTCCTGAGGCCATGGGGAGTACAGTATAAGACAAAATAGACAAGATTACTGCCTTCGATGATTTCAAGTTTAGTGAAAGAGACCATCATTAAATAATTTTTAAATATGATTGTGGTACATATTATGAAGAGTTGTGAGAGTGTAACATGGAAAGGCCTAATTGTAGTCTGGGAAGTCAGGGAAAGTCCTCTGGAGGAAAGGACTTTAAGCTGTTCTGCTTCCCACATGGAGGACAATAATATGATGCCAGAATACACTTTAGTCAAGCCTCTTTTTTTAAAAAAAATTTGTATTTTGAGACGGAGTCTCCCTCTGTCGCCCAGGCTGGAGTGCAATGGCGCTATCTCAGCTCACTGCAACCTCAGCCTCCTGGGTTCAAGCGATTCTTCTGCCTCAACCTCCCGAGGAGCTGGGATTACAGGCACCCGCTACTACACTTGACTAATGTTTGTATTTTTAGTAGAAATGGAGTTTCACCACGTTGGCCAGGCTAGTCTCGAATTCCTGACCTCAGATGATCCACCCACCTTGGCCTCTCAGAGTGCTGGGATTACAGGCATGAGTCACCGGGTGTGCCTTACTCAAACTTCTTCTGTAATTTGTTACATGCAGTACAAATATACAACAATAAGGAATCTTTCCTTTCTTCTATTCCTAATTGTCTAGAGTGGTCTTACACTCTTAATTATTTCCAGCAGATTTTGTTGCATCATATAGTAATCTTATCACGGTGCCTTTTGTTCATTATCAGGTAATGCAACTTTTTATATATTCTTTTGTGTGGTTTTTACAGTTTATTTTACACTTAATCTACACCTTATGTAATCTTACTGATTTATGTGAATTCTCCCTATATTGTACATGTCTCACATCTGGATCACTGACTTGAATTTCTTATCTCTGTATAAGCCCTTTGTCCCTCCCCCTGCCTAACTTTCTGAGAATTCCAGCTATTAATGGGACATGCATTCTGTGATGGATTCATTTAACTTAGAGGCAACTCATTTAACTGACGAATGAGTGAAATATGTGAGCATTTTAGTCTTGCATGATACATGTGTAGTAGCATTTAAACAGTAAATTCAAATGATTATGTTTTTAAAATAATGTCAAAATAACACATTTCTTTCTTACTCCCTAATAAAAATTACTGGCAAATTAATTAGTTGTAAAATTGGTGATTATCAAAATAAAAAAAGCAAAGCTGTTGAAAGCACATGGCTTCTCAGAGAAAGGTTAATTTTCAAAACATAGCTCATGATTTTTGAAATGCCTTATTTATTTATATTTTAATGTTATTTAAAATGACATTTGAATTTATAATTATCATTTTGGAAGAAATTAAAAATCAAGTTTAACAGGTTCACTTGCTTTAGAATTATATTGGTTACTAATGAAGTGCTTTTTAAACATTTTGTTTTAGTGTTGTAGATCCATTTAGAATAAAGGAGAATGATGCAGCAGTTAAAATCCAGAGCTGGTTTCGAGGATGTCAAGTTCGGGCATATGTCAGGTATATTGGTTTTGTCATGGAAACCTCAGATATGTCATAAAAATATATTTCTTAGAAAATGTAATTTATTCATGCAGTGCTCATTTCAAATAATTTTTTATTTTACTCATAATGTAGTTAATAAATTGTATGGTATTCTTTTAAAAGAAATACACAATATTTCTGATCTTTTCTTACCAAAACTAAATTATATTGACTGTATCTCTTTTTAAAATTCTCAATATTGGCCGGGCACAGTGGCACACTCCTGTAATCCCAGCACTTTGGGAGGCTGAGGCGGATGGATCACTTGAGGTCAGGAGTTCGAGACCAGCCTGGCCAACATGGCGAAACCCTATCTCTACTAAAAATACCAAAATTAGCCGGGTGTAGTGGTGCATGTCTGTAATCCCAGGTATGTAGGAGGTTGAGGCAGGAGAATCCCTTGAACCCAGAAGGGGAAGGTTGCAGTGAGCTGAGAAGGTGCCACTGCATTCCAGCCTGGGCAACAGAGGGCAACTCTACCTCAGAATAAATAAATAAACAAAATTCTCAATATTACAAACACACTTGCCCAGATTCCTTTTCCCAAATTCCTAAGGGTCTACAAATGACTGGGTTTGTATTTATAGCAAATAAATTCATTGACTGGTAAGAAAGAGGAAAAAGAGAAAACAGTTTCAATCCTTTCCACCATGTTGATAGATAAAAGAAAGTGATGCATGGATGATGTCATTCTGACTATACAAAGAGATGGAAATTTGTCCCTATCTTAACTCTTAACTCTATCTTAACTTTTTTTTCAGTGCCCAAACATTCCCTCAGTGTCCCATCAATTCTTAAAAATATTTTCCTGGATAGGATAGAGGAAAATATACCTACTCCAATAATAACTCATCAGGCTGGGAAATATCCTATATAAAACTTCCTTATACTGCCTAGTAAGAGCTGGACATGCAAATTTAAACTGTGAAGACAAGGCTTCTCTCTCTCTCTTTTTTTTTTTTTTTTGAGATGAAGTTGTTGCCCAGGCTGGAGTGCAATGGCATGATTTCGGTTCACCGCAACCTCCGCCTCCCAGATTCAAGTGATTCTCCTGCCTCAGCCTCCCAAGTAGCTGGGATTACAGGCATGTACCACCATGCCCAGCTAATTTTGTATTTTTAGTAGAGACAGGGTTTCTTCATGTTGGTCAGGCTGGTCTCCAACTCCCGACTTCAGGTGATCCGCCCGCCTTAGCTTCCCAAAGTGTGGCGATAACAGGCATGAGACACCGTGCCCGGAAGACAAGGTTTCTTTTTTGGCCACTATATAAACTAAGGATCATGGTGGCAAATCGAGGATTTTTGAATTCAGCAGACTAACATGATGTTGGCTTGGATAGACTGAGGATTACAGGAAAAGAATGAAGAGGAGAACTATTTCTTAACCTCATGCATTTCTCTCTCTCTCTCTCTCTCTCTCTTTCTCTCTTTCTTTCTCTTTTTTGGAGACAATCTTGCTCCGTTGCCCAGGCTGGAGTGCAGTGGTACGATCTCGGCTCACTGTAACCTCTGCCTCCCTGGGTCAAGCGATTCTCCTGCCTCAGCCTCCAGAGTAGCTGGGACTACAGGCTTGCACCACCACACCTGGCTACTTTTTGTATTTTTGGTAGCGATGGGGGCGGTTTCACCACGTTGGTCAGGCTGGTCTCAAACTCCTAAGCTCAGGTGATCCACCTGCCTTGGCCTCCCAAAGTGCTGGGATTACAGGCATGAGCCACTGTACCTGGCCCTCATGAATTATTTCTAATTTCTAATAATGATTTACATCAATAGTGCCTGGCTTATTTCTCAACATGTCACTGTGACCTGTTTTATAGTCTTAACATTCAGAAATATTTTAAAAAGTAAGTATTGAAGTAGAATTGGAATTAAGTATTGTATAATAATAAGCCCCAAAGAAATAACGGTTAGTTACCAATGCTCTTTTCTTCTACTTCTAGAAACGATTAAGTCTATCCCACAATAACTTTCTACTCTTTAAAAGTGCACATAAACTTGCTTTTGAATTTGCATTCTTGAATTGTAGGAGAGTATTCTAACAAAGATTTAACTGACCTCCTTGTTTCAATGAAAGGATACTAATAAGCATATTTTTTTATCCTAGGCATTTAAACAGGATTGTAACAATTATTCAAAAATGGTGGAGAAGTTTCTTAGGCAGAAAGCAATATCAACTAACTGTGCAGGTAAATATAAAATGTACATATGTTAGCTTTTGAATTGTACAATATGCTGTAATTTATTCACCTTAGTCATATTTCCATATAGTTTGGAAATTACTGATGATGAGTATTTATGTAAGGACAAAATTGGGCTTACTTTCTAGTATGAGACCTCTTCTTGAAAGCATTTTCTGATATTTCCATGGATAATTGACCCATTTTTTTGGGTACCCAAACTACACTAATATTATTTTTGTTTGAAGTACTTTTCACAGTATATACATTTATGCTTATTTATTGATGATTGTCTGTACTTTGTAGATGGTGAGCTTTTTGAGAGTGGGCACTGCAGCCCACTTCCTTTTTGGATCACCAACATTTTAGGCTAATGCCTTTCCCAGAACACAGTCAATAAATATCCTCATAAGGACGCTAAATTGGTCAAAGCAAACAATAAGGCTTCTTTTGTCTTCTCTTCAGGACTTTCTGATAAGTTTTGTTTCATGGGTGTAAATAAGATTTAACTAATTTAATAAATGATGTATCATTCCAGAATGGTTTTTTATGTAAAGTTAAACGTATTTGTGGATATATCACAAATTTATTTGTGATTAATTATTATTGGAAAGCAACAAAGATTATATGGTACTTTTATACTAGCTATTGTTTATTAAACCACTGCTGTATACCAGGCATTTTGTGTAATTATTTAATTCGCATGTTAGGATACTTATTAAAAGTAACTGTTGTTACTTTTAACAAGGAACAGGCTAGGAAACTGAGTCTCATCCACTTGTCCATGAACGCATAATGGTACATTTAGTATACGTAGCAACCTTACAGTTGCTATAGAAGTTTTTACATTGGGCACAGTTGTCTGGTAATTGCCAAGATCCTCTGCCTAATCTCCATAAGGACAGAGACTATGTCTCATTAGCGTTGCACTCTCAGAGCATGGTGCCTGGCGTATATTAGATAATTAGCACTTATATTGATGAATAGAAGAATGAACAACAATTCTGTTTCTACTATGCTGTGCTCCCTTTACTGGTAGAAGCCAAAAATTGATACTGATTGGTCATCAGTCTGAGTATAGTAATTTTCTTTTCTTTTTTTTTTTTTGAGACAGAGTCTCACTCTGTTTCCCAGGCTGGAGTGCAATGGCATGATTTCATCTCACCGCAACCTCTGCCTCCTGGGTTAAGCGATTCTCCTGCCTCAGTCTCCCAAGTAGCTGGGATTACAGACCCCAGCCACCATACCTGGCTAATCTTTTTGTATTTTTAGTAGAGATGGGTTTCTCCATATTGACTAGGCTGGTCTCCAGCTCCTGACCTCAGGTGATCTGCCTACCTCGGCCTCCCAAAGTGCTGGGATTACAGGTGTGAGCCATCATGCCCAGCCAAACTTTTTTTTCCCTTATCCTGTCTTAATTTTGGTTAAAAACATCATTTTAAAAAGTAACTCTTTGAACTGCTCTGAAATCAAATGCATCTATTTCTGTTTCTGCTTAACATTTTGGAAAGGAAAAATTGGGAAGAAGATGTAACTTATAGTTACAGAGTATATGCTAGGTGCCAGATACTGTGGTAAGCATTAATTATGCAATATCTCTGAGTCTTGTACCTACCTTTTGACTCTCACCGAACTGTAGAAAGAGCACAGGCTTTAGACCTGATGACGGAGGTTTGATGACTGTGGGCAAGTTATTTAACTTGTGTGGACCTTGCTTATGTCCCCTGTCTTTAAAATGAAGATAAGAATGTGTGGCGGATTTTTGTTAAAATTAAGTGAAACACTGTACGTAAAATACTCGGAACTGTGATTGGCACCTAGGCAGTGCTCAAAAATGGTAGTTTTTCATTTGTGACGCTATTGTTAGTATTATTCAAAAACTATCAAGGCAGTTTGCTTGGAGTAATATAAGTGAGAGATTTTCAAATCAGATTAGCTCCAAATTTTACATTTCTCTCACTTATGCATAATCACGTGATGATTTTATTATATGTGAGTGAGTGTAGTGTGTGGATAGATAGATAGATACGTAGGCATACGCTTTTTATACAGTGACTTAGGAAACCTCCTATGTTTTGAAGCTTGTCTTTCTTAGAGTTAGTGACAATAGAAATTAGGAGGACAGCAAAGAAACACAAAGACAGATGTCTTTAAAGCTGTATTTATAATAAATAGGAAAGAAAACTGAAGAGGGAAAAGAGACTTTCAGGGTTTAAGTGTAGATATTGGATTCACTATCAATCCATCTAAAGTGCTATTCAAATGATAACCCTAGAATCTACAACTTGATATTTTAGAATATTAAAGGTGGTCAGGATAATTTGTATTTCCTTCATATTGTCTATGTCTCTGTGTTTATATACTAAAATTAATATAGTTAAATATATACTCTTCTATATTGTTGAAGAGTTAAATTTGCATGATCTTCATGAGATGCTCTTCTGAAAAAATGAGTGTGGTTGTAGAAACAATAGTTTTAAGAATCTTTGACAATTGCTGACATTGGATAGAGCCAATGGAAGCAGATGAAGTCAGATAAAAAATGTCATATGCTTAAATAGTGAAGGAGAGATTTGATTTTTCTTCTTTTATTTTTTCAATTTGATTGCCAGGAATTTTGGTAATAACCTTTTATCTGGTATACATATGAAAAACCTGTATTTTCTATTTAAAGACACATAAAACCAAAGAATTCCATTGGCTACAGTATATATTCCATATTCTAATTTATACCATTTTGAAACAGAAGTTTTATTTCATATTTAGATCCATTTGTCTCACAGCTATGGAAAAAATGTAATCAAATATCAGTGCTTCTTTTGTATGTGAAATTCCTATTGATGGCTTTTAAATACTATTTTTAAACATAAGTTTTCTTACTCCACCTTCTTTCTCCCTTCCTTTTCTTCTTTCTTTCCAATTTTGACATATGATCTTTATTTATTTATTTATTCTTATTTACTTATTATTGTCATTTTTTTGAGACAAAGTCTTGCTCTGTTGTCCAGGCTGGAGTGCAGTGGTGTGATCTTGGCTCACTGCAACCTCTGCCTCCCTGGTTCAAACGATTCTCCTGCCTCAACTTCCCGAGTAGCTGGAATTACAGGGACCTGCCACCACGCCCGGCTAATTTTCTTGTATTTTTGGTATAGACAGGGTTTCACCATGTTGGCCAGGCTGGTCTCCAACTCCTGGCCTCAAGTGATCTGTCTGCCTCTGCCTCCCGAAATGCTGGGATTACGGGCATGAGCCACTGTGCCCAGGTGGCATATGATTTTTAAAATTTATTGTGCTATCATTTACATTCAGGCCACTTTAAAATAAATTTTAAATTTTGGAAAAATAATCAGATTTACAGAAAAGTTGCAAAACTAGTACAAAGAACTTCCATATATTCTCCACTCACATTTTTTTAATCAAGTGAAAAAATTCGCATTATTTCCTCTTCTCTGTATACATTTTTTCTCTATATACATTATTTTATTCATTTGACACAAAGTTACAGAAGTTATGTCCCCTTATCTCTCAATATATTGCATGCATATTGTTTACATAATCTTTTTTTTTTTTTATTTTAAGACAGAGTCTCGCTCTGTTGTCCCAGGGTGCAATGGCACAATCTCAGCTCACTGCAACCTCTGCCTCCTGGGTTCAAGCGATTCTCCTGCCTCAGCCTCCCGAGTAGCTGGGACTACAGGTGCCCACCACCACACCTGGCTAATTTTTGTATTTTTAGTAGAGACGGGATTTCACCATGTTAGCCGGATGGTCTCAATCTCCTGACCTTATGATCTGCCTACCTTGGCCTCCCAAAATGCTGGGATTACAGGCGTAAGCAACCATACCTGACCTTACATAATCTTATTACAATATTAAAATCAGGAAATTGACATCTGTACAAAACTATTGTATAGACGCTATTCACATTTTACTGATTGTACCAGTAATGTCATTTATAGCAAAAATTCTTTTCCAGGGTACAAACTAGGATTTCACTTTGTAGTTAGTATTTGTTGTGTCTGTTTAGTCACCTTTAATCTAGAATAATTTTTTAGTCTGTCTTCACTTTTCATAACCCTAATATTTTTGAAGAGTACAGACTAGTTATTTTTCAGATTATTTCTCAATTTTTGTTTGCTAGTGTTTCTTCAGTGTTAGATTCTGGTTATGCATTTTTAGCAGAAATACATTTCAATACATCATATTATGATGCATATGTCATCAGTTTGTCCAATAAATGTTGTTAACTTTGTTTAAAGTAGGGTCTCTCGGGTTTCTACACTATCAACTTACTATTTGTCTCTCATGAGGGGATATTTAAATGCTATGTATACATCTTTTTCCTCATTAAACTTTTGTGTGCTAGGTTTAGCATACAATGATGATTCTTACCAGAATCAATTATTACTATAGTGGTCCAACAGTGATTTTCTAATTCCATTGTTTCTCCTACATTTACTTACCAGCATTTTGCTATAAGAGATTTTCCTCTCTCTCATTTATTTATTTATTCATGTATTTATATGAGTATGAAGTCATGGATTCCTATTTTATTCAATAGGTGGGTTATATAGTCAACTACTCTCACTAAATGGTTTGGTGCTCAAATAGTCCTTGGTTTTCTCACTAGGAGCTTCTTCAAACCAATTTTTGATAGAATCTTATTACTTAACCAGGATGACCAAGAAATTAAGGTATTCTGTGGAGTAATGAGCACCTTTAGTCCCATTATTTATAAGTGATCGAGGTTGTATGTCAATGGTATGGACAAAGACAGTAGAGTATACTTGTGCATATAAGATGTTCCTGGGTTGAAGCGATTCTCCTGTCTCAGCCTCCCAAGTAGCTGGGATTACAGGTATCCCCCCACCACGCCCGGCTAGTTTTTTGTATTTTTAGTAGAGATAGGGTTTCACCATGTTGGCCAGGCTGGTCTCGAACTCCTGACCTCAGGTGATCCACGCTCCTTGGCCTCTCAAAATGCTGGGATTACAGGCATGAGTCACTGC